CGCCGGTGTCCTGGTGGAAGAACGGCTCGTAACTTCCCGGTTAATCTCCCCTGTCCATGGCTGCCTTGGTTCTCGTTCACTAACGGCAGTTTGACGTGCGGGTTCCGGGGTTTGAACAGGGGGAGGACGGCAACACTTTACCCGCCTCGCTGTTGGCTTAACTCTGCACAAGAGCCGCCCCGGAACCTGAATACGACAAGCTGCCCAGTTTGCTGCCTGAGCCCGGCAGCTCCTTGTACACCTGACGGAGCGACTACAACCGTGGGACTTGTAAAAAAAAAAGAAATAAAATAACTCGTTTATATAAGAAAAAAAATCAAACAAACAACGGAAGCAGAAACATGTCTTTTACTATCAAGCGTGAGATTCAACCTATACGAGTTCCAACATTTCCCACAATGCAACCTGTCAAAAAAAAAAAAAAAAAAAACGTTTCCTGGATGACGAATTTCTTTGAATTATTATTATTTTTTTTGCCCATGATTTTTTTTAAAAGTGGATTCAAATTTACCAAGCTAGGGATTCGTTTACAGTTGGGTGAGACCTTTGCAGGCAAAATGAGGATTTTTTTGTATTGTTTATTTTATTTTATTTTTTATCCTCCTCAAAACCTTCAAAATAATAGTGTGTTGAAATTTGGCAATTTATCACCGGGCTAGCAATAAGCTAGTTTTTTTTTTATGAGAGTGGGTTTGAAAACCTAAAAATTAAGACATAACTGGGAATTCCAGCCCCATATATGTGAATGAGAATGCATACAATTCACAATGTCACCAAACATTATATGAAGGGATTTCCCAGACTATGGTAACTGACAGAGAAAAGAATACAATTTAAAGTAAATTATATGGGCTATAAGACAAATAATTTTTTCCTGATAACATACCTACTTGAAAACTTAAATTTAAAGGTAGATTAAGAATACGTATTACCATATATGCTATTTTAGTAACAAACTGCGAGATAAGATAGAACTTTATTGATCCCGCAGGAAATTGTTGAGACAGATGGTGTCTTTGTGAACTAATTTTTATACAAATCTCAATTACAGCAAAAAAAAAAAAAAAAAAGTGATATACACACACACACATATACACACACACAGGTATACAGTAGTCCCTCACTACTTTGTGGTTTGTTTATCGCAGACTTGCTCTATCGCTGTTTTTCTAAATAAGATTGGACATGACACACAATTGGCTGATGGATGAACTGCACGCTCAGCATAGAATATTTATTTAAAATAAATTATTTAAAATTATTTAGCACCTGCTGCACCTTTGTGCAGCCTACAGCTGCAGGAGGAACAGCTGGACCACAGTTCATTTGAAAGTAATCTGCATTTAGCTTAGCAGATAAAACATAATGTTTTTAGTTTACATTTATTTAACAACCATACAGTTTACTAAAATAGCCTTGCAGAGTTCAAGTACCTGTTGTGTTCGCGGTTGCAGGAACAACCAGACCAAATGAAATCAGTGGCTACAACAACAGTGCTTAACACGGATCCAAAACAAAAATGGTGTTTATGTGAAAAGCAGAATAGTTTCCATCGCCTACCTACAGATGAGGACTTAAGAAGAATGTGTCTGAAAAATCTGAACTTGAAGAGACCACCCAAAACGCTGCATGTGTGCTCATTTCACTTTGTTGACAAACGGCCGATGGAGGAAAAACTGCATCCTACTTTGTGGCTGGACTACAATAAACCACCAGAGAAGAGACACTGGATCCTCAGAAGGATTGAAAACAGAGTGATGAGAACATCAGGTATGATTTCAAGTGTATGGAGGGCACAGCATTATCGTATTTGTTCGTCTTCAGTTTTACAGTTTTCTCTGCAATTAACCCAAGCTCTGTGATGGAGAACTTTAAGGCTTTGGCTGGGCTCTATGTCTGTTTTAAGGTAAATGAAATTGTGTCCCACCTGTTTTAACGCCATCACCCTTATTACTGTGTAGATACTGATACGCCTCAGAGCTTGTCAGTTCATTCATTCATTCAACCTTTATTTAGACAGGTAAATCCCATTGAGCCTCCAGGACTCATTTACAAGAGAGACCTGATTTCAACAAAGAATGATGACAACAATAGACAGTTATAAAAATGCATACAGATTTTTATTTTTACAAATAAGATGGCAAAAAAAGTAGTTGTTCATCGCTTCAATGTTGGAAGAACCGAGTCAATGAAGTAGCTAAATATGCAAGTGGATGTAATCTGTGGCCACTTCTTCAGGTTGTCCTCCATCCCTCGTCCGCACTAGGCAGCGGTATGATTATATTGTCCTGTTTGAAGTCTGATAGGTGGTGTTCCTACATGTTTAAATTAACTCCACAATGATAGGAGAAACTACATTAGCTCGTACTGTTCGCACATAAACAAATGCCGGTTCTGGTCCACACCGGAAGTCACGTCCATAATTCACGCAAGGCAGCATGGGGGCTAGGACTAAGGTGGATAGCCATTTTTGTGAATGTTAAGGTTCGTGGACTGTGACCGCTATTGAATTGGGCTGATTCCAAAAGTTAATCAGTTTGTAGATGTTCATCCAAGGATTATTTTCTGCAAGCTTCATTAAAATGTGTCCAGTAGTTGGGCTATTTTGCTAACAGACAGACACATGAGCACACGCACAGATCTGCACAAAAATATTGTCTGTTTTTACCTTTCAATGGCGGAAGACAAAAACAAAACACGACACAAAAATCACCGTAAAGGTTTTCAGACACACCGACCACATCAAACAAAAGCCCAACTATATATTTGTCAGTCCAGACGATGCAAAATTTGAGTTCACTCATTTAATTATATTTTTTCTACTTCCTCAATAGCCCAGAAACATTTCCTGTATTCTTTCTTTCTTTCTTTTATATTATTATAAATTGAAGTGCTTAATAAATATTAACCAAAGATAGACAGAATAATGTGTTTAAATAAAAGGGAGAAAGTTAATCAGTTGGATGGGCTTTGGCTTAACCAGACCCACCTCCTGTTCACTAAATACAACACAAAAAAAAGCAGGATTAAAAAAAAAAAAAAAATGTGAGTGGTTCCCAAAGTTAGGATTGGAACCCCGAAGTGGGTTAAAGAACTTCAAGGGGTGGGAATGCTCTTAAAATAATCTTCAGAACATGAAAAATAAAATTAAATGTCCATGTTAATATAAAGCCAAATAAAGCTAAAAAAGCTGTATTAGATGATTGGGTTTAATGCATTTAAGGCAATAATATTGTTATTTTGTCCTCATTTAACTCGTAAAGCTGAAAAAAGTCAGGGTCACAAGCAAATTTTCAGTGTTCCCCTTCTGGTCACTTTTTTTTTTTTAAGCAGAAGTTTAAAAACTCAGAGGGAGTCCTAAAACCTCAGCACCACAAACTGTCAGCTACTTTTTAGTGATTAATTATAAAAATGGTGGAGAATTTCCACCAATATAAAGGTAGGATGTTCACTATTAGCCGATGCTGTCAAATCAAATTTATTTATATAGCACATTTAAGAATAACTGCCGGTGGCCAAAGTGCGGCACACAAAGCAACATGTTACAATAGTGCAAAAGAAAAAAGCAATTAAAAACATGACAAGAAAAATAAAACCATTAAACAGAACTAAGTAAAATCTCATACAGTATTAAAAGCCAGTGAGCACAGGTGTGTCTTAAAAACACGAAACACGAAGAGTTGAAGCCTGTCTGATATGAAGGGGCAGCTGGTTCCACAGATTATTAGCTACTACAGACAAGGACCAGTCTGGACCGTGGGACAACCAAAAGCAAACGATCAACAGATCTGAGTGATCTGGAGGGCACACAGGAGGTCAGATATATACGGGAGCCTGTCCATTCAGGGCCTTATAGGTCATTGATAAATCTTTAAAATCAATCCTAAAACAAACAAAGCCAATAAAGGGATGCCAGCATCAGGGAGATATGTTCACGCTGTTTGTGTTAAAAGACAAGCTACATCGTTCTGGACCAGCTGCAGACGTAAGAGACCGGCCTGACTAACACCAACAACAGAGAGTTGCAATAATCTAGTTGGGAGGTAATAAAAGTGTGAATTACCAGTTCAAAGTCTTTAAAGGATAAAAACAATTTTACTTTAGATAAAAGTCTCAAAAATAGGAGCCTTTAAAAATGATCTTTTTACTACAGAACTAATGTGCTTCTCAAAGTTTAAATTTGACACGTGATTTAACAAACAACTTTAGGCTGAAAAAGAGAAGCACTGCGGTTTATACCAAAAATAATAACTTCAGTTTTGTCCTCACTGAAATGTAGAAAGTTTGAAGTCATCCAGGCTTTTACCTCAGTGATGCAGTCAAGCAGGTGCTTTAGTGAAAAAGATTGAGTCTTCAACTGATAATAAATGTGAGTGTTGTCAGCATAAGAATGAAATGAGATGTTAAATTTTCTGAAGACTGAGCTTAAGGGGAGCATCCAGATAGAAAATAAAATGTGTCCAAAAATTGATCCTTGAGGTACTCCATATGTGATAGATTCTCTGAGGCTTACAGAGGAACCCCCGTTAAGACAAGTAGGATCTGAACCAGTCTAAAACAGCCTTTGATACCACATTGCTCCAACCTGGAGATCAGAATGCTGCACTCAACAGTATCAAAGGCTAATAACAGCAACAGTGTTAAAGCTTTCAGGTCTAAAATCAAAAGGATGGCAGAGTCTCCAGAATCTGTAGCCAATAAAAGATTAAGAACCTTTAAAAGTGCAGTTTCTGTGCTGTGCATGGCTTTAAAACCAGATTGAAACCTTTCAAGAATGCTATGACCATTTAAAAAGGACTGCAACTGCATATAAATAACCTTTGTTAATTTTTTAATAAAAAAGAAGTTTTGAAATGGATATAAAATTTGAGAGGACAGATGTGTCAAAATTGTTTCTTCACCAACAGCTGCACAACTGCATGTTTAAAAGGATATTGTTATTGTGTTGTTGAAAATGTCTGTGAAAATCTTTTAGGTCCTTAATAACAGTAAGGTCTTACCTTCAGGCCTGTACTGAGCGATGATGGTGACAGTTTGTCCAGCTCTCTTCAGCGCTGCAGCTGCCTGCTCATGCGTGGCGTTCCTAAGGTTTACTCCATTTACCTGCAAATAATCAGTTATAAAGAAACAAGTTCAGACAAGATTTGTGTAGAAAACATGTGTACAGTAGTCCCTCGTTTATCATGGGGGATCCATACCCTGAAGTCACACGATAAGTGAAAAACCACAAAGTAGGGACAGTAGTACAAGTAGTAGTCTATCTTAGTATGTATGTACATATATATACTGTATTTTTTGTCGTACATGTCACACCACTGTACAAGTCACATCAGTCCAAATATGTCTAATAAAGTGGGAAAAAACATAAATAAGTCGCTTCGCCATGTAAGTTGCATCTATTATGTGTCACTGCTGATGCGTCACATTTGTTACGCGTCACCGCTGACCATCCGGAGATGTGGGCCGGTGTTGTGCCAAAAATCAATTGGCTGCCAAATGGCGGCTGCGGGAGCATGCACAGGAGGACTTTAACAAGAATTAAACAAGATTAACACTTAAAAACAATTATTTGTTTGCTCAACATTATAGTAAAGGTGTGTCTCAGTTGAACTTTTCCTTAATAAATGCACTTCAATGGTCAAATTAGTTGCATTTCGCCGGGGCGGCGCAGCGACATGAAGCTGATTTGACTTTTGCTCCAGGCATGATCCCAGAACTGGACGAAGGTGGCAGGCTATGGCAAGCCGATTGTGTCATTAATAGACACTTTTACCTATTACATGACACAACGACATGCCATACTACTCGAGTGTCATCTAGCGGCTGAAAATGGTAGTGTTCAATATTTTCCATGTCAGAACAAATGAAAACAGTCATATCTCAGCCAAAACCTGGATTATAAATATGGGGGGGGGGGGGGGGGGGAGCATAAATAAGTCGCAGGGTATGCAAATTAGGCAAAAGGTGTGATTTATACGCCGGAAAATCCAGTATATATTAAGGCGTTTAAACCCTTCCCACACTCTTGCAATATTCTAAACAGCGCTTCTAAACTCTAAAGAGCACAGAATATCATGATCTCAGCTCTCTGCCTCGGCTGCTCTGTGTCACCTGCAAGCCCTCTCAGCCACACCCACTTCTCCGCTCTGCATGGAGATCAGCTGATCAGCTGCAGGAGGAAGCTTATCCTGCAATATGGGCTGCACAAAGGTGCAGCAGGTGCTAAATAATTTACAATAATTTATTAAAAATAAAAATTCCATGTTGATCATGTGGCTCATCCACAGTCAGCCAATTGTGTGTCATGTCCAATCTTACTTTGAAAAACTGCGATAAAGCGAGTCCGTGAAAAACGACCTGCAAAGTAGCGAGGGACTACTGTATCTGCATATTGTTTGAGTTCAACAATTTGAGTATGATATGCTATCTTCAAAAGAACACTGAACAAAAATGACTCTTGTTTCTTATTTTTCTAATTTAACTAATATTACCACAAACATTTTTTTAAACAACGAGCAGCGTTAAAATAAATAAATAAGCAGCACTGGGAGTTAGACAGAGAGCAGCTTAGCTCTCTCAGAGTTGTTTTGGAGTTAACGTCTTGCTCAAGGACATTTCTGTGTGGACAGGTGTTTGCAGGCTTTCTAAACACCAGGCCACCTTCAATTTTATCATCATTATTCTGACAGCGGGAGTTGGCTGAAAATCCTGCTGCCTCAGACTTGTTACAGTGGTGGATGTGGGCAAACAGGAAGTCTGAAATTGAAATACTGACTGAGAGAATCCGGTCGCCCCTCCTCAGCTCGCCGCTCAGGTCAGCCGGCCCTCCAGCCAAGATGAAGGAGACAAAAATCCCCTCTCCATCCTCCCCACCGACGATGTTGAAGCCCAGGCCGGTGGAGCCCTTGTGCAACACCACCTTTCTCGGCTCCCTGCCAAAAGGAGAGACGGCGTCAAGGACAAAACAGGAGTCATCATGACACAGAGAGACGACCAGAACTGTAAAATCGTTATGCAAAAGAACACAGAGGCGTTTTTCAGACAGCCATCTTTGGTTTGGACTGTTTATGATACTGAAATGTCAAGTACACTCAGTTTAGGCAGCTACAAACAGCAGGCCTGTAGTTCCTTTTTAGTGGGCCCATCGTGTTTATCTTTGAAAGTGAGCATAGTTTAAACGGTTTATGCAGAGGACATGACACAATGATAGAAAGCAATAATTAGCCATGAAATAAGTAAGAAATAAATAACCATAATGCCAGTACAGTGGCATGCAGAGGCTCGCCTGAGTCAAAATGTGTTACTGTAAACATTTAGCTAAATAAAATTACTCATTTTAAATTTGAACAATTTTTATAAAAACAGAAATGTAGCAAATGTTAAACACAGCTCTAAATCAATAAATCATTAGCAAAAGGACAATTTAACTTGTAGGACTCATTTGATACCGACTCCTCAGCTGTCTCTTCTAAATACTTCGTAGCACTCTAAAAACTACGATAACTGTGTACACACATTAACATCCAGTCAAATCAATGCACAACAATGGGCCACCTCCTCACGCTCTGCTTCAGCTGCTATGACTCATCCTCCAGCAGGCTGTTCAGACTGCCTCAGCTTTAAGACCTCGAGAGGCCGAACCGCTGCTTCAGTACAGTAAAACCCCTCTGAGAACACACTTCACACACATGCAAACACACACTCCAGAATACTTAACAGTTAACGCACGTACACACACACTTTCAGTGGATATCTGCGGATTAACATTTATTCCTGTGCACAAAAACACACAACTTCCTTAAAAAATAAAGTCAGGCACCACATGTCTCCTATTAGTGGTCTTCTCTTGCACTACTCAGCCTGCGGTCTACAAGAACAATTGCTTCTCATTCCCTAATGGCTGCACTTAAACTACTTGTTAAAAGTTTTCCTATCGAGGAAACATTCCAGGCTCTCAAGAGTCCCCGGTACCTGCAACCCGCTGAACAGAAACAGAGATGACTCCACTGGGAAAGTGGCGAAATGGAAAAACAAATTGCTATCTACAAGAGTATAGAAATGATTCAAAGACTTACAAGAGAAGTATAGTTGAAATGCGTTTCCTCGTAAGGCATGTACTGAAGCAGTACTTCTGAAAACAGGATTCAGGGACCAGTTATAACCAAACTGTAGCTGGTTTACTCATTTAAAGTCTTACTTTCTTCTATAATCATTAAGAATTTGTATGGTGAGAGAATAGAGAACCTAATAAGAATAATGAGCGGTACCGGTAATTGCCACAAGTACACTAAAACAGCTGATGCGCCTTCAGTGAACTTAGGCTTTAAATAACCTTGGTTTCCATTTTGAGCTTTTCTTCTCAGCTTCACACGACACGCACCATCTCCATGGTTACCTTACGATCCGGATCCGCTGCTTGCTTCTGAAAGAGCATTTCCTCCCTGTGTTATGAGGCAGGCTCCTCATCAGTGGCATGGAAGATGAGATGTTCACGGTGAACATGTTGGCTGTTGCACATCGCTCGGCTCAGCATTCCCCCTGGACGCCTCTGTTTAACTGACCTCCGACAGAGAGGTGGGGTATGATTTTAGACATTCTTGTCTTGCGGGGCTTGTGCTCCCTATCTCATCCCATGTGTGCTGTGATGAGAAGCAGGTCCTCATCGGACTGTGACAAAAAGCAAGCCAACATACTTAACCCTAGCGTTCCTGTGCAAATTATTTCCCCTCAGTAGGAAGAAGCAAAAATCACCATTCGGTCACATCTTAAACGACTGTGGCTCAAATATGTCGAGGTTATCCAGAGTTGATCTCCTTCCGCGCCTCTTCATCTCTGCTGTCGTGTTTTTGCGGGTTCATCTCTCTTCTATGCAGCAGAGCAGCATTCCTGTCTGTCAGCCTGGACCTCTGGAGAGTAGGCAGACAGATTCCCAGAAGCTCCTTGTTAATTTGTAGAAGTGTAATCAGACTCATGGATGGCCTTTCGTGGCTTTGAGGCCTTTGATTTGTTGACTTCATAATCTATGACCTGGCTGCACTCAGGACAGCAAGCTGGATTTCCCAACAGGAAGATAATGTGGAATATTTCAGGAGATAAGGTCTTCTTATCTTACAGCTGGGACTCTAAAGGAGCTTGTTTCTGTTGTGTTTGTCCACGAGAAGTGAATCGCCTGGTCGTTTTCATGTAAAACGGCAGTGAATTTCTTATGGAATTAAAGGGATAAAGCCTCCGCTCTCTATCACAAGACTTGCCTCCCCTCCCCTCCTTTCCATGTCTTTTCATCCATGCCAGGAATGTAAACAGTTATAGAGCAGTACAAACCCTTTTGCTCTGCTCAGCCGTCTCTATAATTCAGAACTCGCCACCCCTCCTATTGCTGTATTTCCCATATGCTGCGACTGCAGAAGCTCAATCCTGAAGCTGTGAATGGATATCTGGGCTGCAGGGTTCAGTGGGTCGCGTCGTCTTGGACACAGCACAATAATTAACTCTGCTCGGCTGATTAATGGTGGACACTGAAGATGGATGCCATTTTACACATCCAGACATTTACTATTGTGACGTTTTACCTTTCCGCATCTCAAAAAGATTGCATGAGCTTATATATAAAGGTATGCTGTGGTTTGTATTTCTTTTCACTGATTTAATGTAGTTTTTCTGCGGCTGCTCTTTTTGCTTCTAATTTGACTGAGACTTTTTTCCCCTTCTGCTAAGGTGGCAGTTTAAACTTTATCCCTCTTTCTGTGAATCCGAAAAAAGATTCAAGTGTAAAAGGAATGATTAACACATATGATGTGTGCTCAGATAAATCTGCTGTCACTAGGTTTATTTTAAACTCCTCTTTGTGTCGTTGAAACTGCCAGCCAAAGGTCAGTGCATCACAGCTTGCTGAATTCGTGCCCTGGCTAGTTAAAAGTTTTTAAGTTTCAGTAGAAGGGCGAGTTACTGATTAACTCATGCTGCTGCTGAAGTCAGGCTTCTGTGTTCACGCATGCTGGGCCTGAACGCAGTAGATAAAGTAAAGATAAACACTGAAGTTTCATGCACTAAAAGTAAAGCAACAGTACTTTCAGTCAGGCTTCTGAAATTAAAATCTTCAAATGTGAATTTTTGTGTTTAGTGGGACTCCAGCCACACTTTGTCTTTAGTGCACAAGAACAAAGCTCGGAGTAATTTGTTTAAGCACACAACTTTTTTATGTTTTGATGGTCTCCCTCTTTTTTTAATGTTAATTCTGGTTTCATTTTATGAGACGCTTTGTGATACGAACTGAATGGAGCGCAGAACAGAAGCGTCTCCTCACTGACGCAGCTCGAAGAGAATCTAAAGATCTAAAGTCTCCTAAACATTTGGGCAGAACTGTAGACACATTCTGAGACAGAGCCTGAGAGCGTGACCAGACGGGAGACGCTTGTTTAGTGACTGTGTGCACCACTGCACATAGACGCATGTTTGCACCAAAATGCATTTTAAACACAGGTTTTATTTATCATCGAGTCAAATGCTGGCAAAAATAAGAAAGGGGGTAATATCAGATGGATGAAGTGGTGGGGGTTGTGTCTCTGGTGACTCCACAAAGGGGGGCGTATAGACGGGCATAAGGCCGATATAAGCACTGACTCATTTCTCACAACCAGCCAGTTCTACTTTTATAGAAGCCTGCGCTTTCTGTAGCATCCATCTAAAATAACATTACAAGTTTGAGCTAACGGCTGATGGGGATGGAATCTGCCTGTTCCTTTCATTGAGCTTAGATGCTCATCGGTTGTGACTGGGATTAAGCTGTCAGCCACGATGTCCTCTGAGACAACGTCAGTCTTTTCTGATCACGCAGCCAACCTGACACACAAACACACTGGGTGCAAACAGGTGCGAGCATAGTCACAATGTGTGGGAAGTGATTTAAGATGATTGACGAGGTGTGCGGCGTGCTGGGTGAAGGTGCGCACAGGTACGTCCCGCTGTCATAACTGTACGCTAATCTTAAAGTTTGTGTTTATGCTTGTTTGTCAGCGCACTGTGAGCAACTGTCTCTGTGTACAGTATGCATGTGTGATTGGTGCTGGCAGTAAGGGTGATGAGAGGGGTAAGACCAGAGTGCACGGCCTGATTTTACCCAGTGGGCTGATGAATCATGACAGCTGCAGGACTGTCTTATGCTGCTGTTGGTCTGCTGGTCTGTACAGGATCAGGCTTTTACTCTACATCACATAAATGGTAACAGCAAGACTTTATATTTACATAAATCAACAGATAAAATCTCACACTGCTTTGTGGAGGGTGGTCACACCATCATCCTATTGTCTCCTTTATTTAAAACCAAAGTCCAACTTCTCACACATTCTCAGGAAATCACTCATTGCAAACAGAGCATATACGTTACTCAATATAGACTAAATTTAACACAAGCAATGGCTCACACAGAAACATTCAAGCATTCATCCATGTGGTGATGCACAATGAACAGGACTGTGGAGGAAAAAAAAATCAAAATGCAGGGGGCCTTTTGCACATTTGATGATGCCAAACAGAAAATAACCCACAAGCTACTGCCATAAATATCAAAACTAGTGAAACTCGGTTTTATCAATGCCTCCTGACAGATGGAATTGGGCAGTCTGTGGGAGCCTGAAGCCCTTTCAGCTGCTCTCCTGTGGTGATGGATTTGTAAAGTGCAAGTACAGCTCCGTTTGACTGCTTTAAATTTAAAGGTATGAGCAACTGTTTGAAAGCTGTTGGACAAATAATAGCTGAACACAAGGTTTTATTGGAAATTGAAAAGTAGAGCGAGATGTCCAAATAGATCAACAGCAAAAAATAATAATCGTGTAATTTCTTCCAAATCTGACTCGCTTTTATTTGTTGCTGCGTTCAAATGTTCTTTCTTATTTCATGTGGGCTCATGAACGACGTCACAACAGCTGCATGTGCAGCATCTGGTTGGCATTTTTGCATACATCCATCCAAGACATGATTGTTGTGCCATTAAGCTTTCAATTACTTCTTTGGCTGTTCTTTTTCATTGACATAATCTCTGGTCAACATATTAAAATGAAAAAAGAATGCCAGGTTTTCTGACATTTTCATTACCAACTTATACTGCCACGTCAGGGATTACCATACTCTTCTTTTAATTCATATGTCCGAGACCTCTCAACTTTAATGATCACAATCTACTTTAGTTGGTAGATAATTTAATTTGTCTGACAGCAGTCGTGGAATTGATCAACAGATTGTACAATGTGAAAGTCCACCAAAGTCTGTGCAAATCCACTGAGATAGAAGACTAGATTTACACAAACCAGGATTGTTTCCTGTAGCCATTTATAATGAGCTGCAGATTTAAAGCCTGATCTGTCAACATCTGCTGATAGAAAACGATTTCTGAACAGTCAGGAGCAACTCATCAAAGCATAAGTCTGACATAAACCAACAGCAGCTGGAATATTAATGTCACTGTGTCTGCAGTGGGGTCAGTTCTAGGGTTAGTTTTGCAGGGGCTTTTTCTTGGCTAAAAAAAAGAAACATCCTATTACCGTAACTATGTTAAATTTCAGCAATGACCTAGCTGTCTTGAATAATCATTTACAGGTCTCTTCTTGTAAATGAGTCCTCGAGGCTCAATGAGACTAACCTGTATAAATAAAGGTTGAAGGAATTTCATTTCAACACAAGTGCACAGTACAGATTTAAATAGTCAAATGTTGTGTTCTTCATGGTTTGAGGGACTATGTTTTAATTTCACTGCAGTGATTTTGTCTAACAACAAATAAAATGAATCACCGGAGGAAAGTTTAATAATAGGAAGAAACGTAGACAGAGCTGTTCGACCACAGATGTGCATGTTTGGAGATGTGAAGGTGGTGCGTTCAACATCAAAAGCCCTGTAACAACTGTTTAACACAGAAGTGGTAGTTTTGTAGTTAGACCCTGTTAAGTTGCATGTGAAAATGATCAATTGTAAAGATCATCTTCATAAACTCAAATATGAATGACTGTGGAACAAACAGAGTAGTCTACCACTGAGCTTTTGAAATGAGCTTCTAAATTCTTAAATAAAATCTTATTGAAGCAGCTTCCATTTTATCAGTTCCGTTGAAAAAACCAACAGCATTTGATCAACGTCCACCTTGTTATGGCAAGTTAAACTGTGACAGGTGACATGTATTTCTTAAACTAATGTATTTTTACTTGGACTAAATGTATATATTTTAGGTTGCTCCAAGAAAAGGACAGCTCAAAGAAATAATTGAAAGCTCAGTCTTACCATGATAATCATTCCCATGAAGAATGTGCATTAATGTCTAACACTAACTATAAGTTACATCTGGAGTTTGTTGCAGATCACAAGAGGCACCAACACACTTTGTATCAGCATAAAGCAGCCAAAAACATGAGGTGAGGGAACATTTACATGCAAACATAAAGAGAACTAAAAGAGGAAATCACGTCACCCTGCGACCCCCTCCAACCCTCCCCTCTCCTTCACTCCTTCATGACCCTATCCTCTAAATTAGCCTTCACTCTTTTATGTTAATATGTGAACAGTTGTGGCACTGAAGCCTGGTGGTTTGGTAGGATTTCTCCATCCTGTCCGAGGCCAGATCTAGATTCTGAGCTACAGAGAGGAGGGTTAGCTAAGCAAGGCAAGATGGACTAGGTTAGTACCTGCTAGAGAAGGGGAGTGGACCTTGGCACAAGGGAGCGGGGGAAGGAGAGAAGCCTCTGTAGAGGGCCTGGGGTGCCTTGCTATCCCCAGGTTTGTGGATGACACTGTAAATAGGTTCAGCCCTGCTGTGGGGTACAGGAATCACAGTGAACGAGACAAGTGTAGGACACAAAAAAAGCACACGTACCAACAAAGATGCAACAAATGCACATACAAGTCATGTAGACTGCCTGTACAAGGACATTACAGGGCAACATAAATGCACACACACACATACACACACACACACCAATAAACACAACAATATGTCCTTCTTTCCCCAGAGCTGCGATTTAAGCTGACTCAAAGCCTCATGGGACAGTCCAATCAAGTCCCTATGAGTGCTACTTCTAATCCACTACTTGGATAGGAAGTCAGAGGTTAAAATATGGCCAACACAACTTCAAGTACAAGAAGGGACAAGGAGCCTGTCTCTGCACACAACCACCACACGCTGTCCAACTATGCTGTTGTCTGCACCACCCTGGCCTCAACAAGCTGACATTTGCAAATTAAACATTTTTCTTTGTCTTACACAGCACGAGGGTACTTAAACTACTGTACAAGCATGTATCATCAAAATCACCATGACGATACATGTAAACAAGCAACAAAACACAGGATAATGGCAACTAAACCCAACCGAAACAAAAATCCTGTCTAAAGAAATAATTTAGCCCCCAAACAAAGTTTGCTCCACACACAGCCACATTTTAATAAGTGCAACAGCTGATCTCCACAAGCAGACACACCTATGATTTGTTCAGACCTGCACTAAGAGAGCAGTGTGACTGTGATTTGTAGTGGGGGGGGGGGACATAAAATCAGCCACGGAGCAACTGCTTTGCAACCTACCTTGTGAAGTCTTCCTCTCCCAGCATGTGGCGGGGAACGGGCGAGTACCTGGACGGGGTGACCTGAGGCGGCGGGTACACTGGCTTGGGCTCCATTGCACCCATGTAATTGTGGCTGACGTGGTTGTCCACCATGGGGGGGAAGGCTGGAGGGAGGGCCAGGCCAGTAGAGGTAAAGAAAGAATGATTAAAACACAGGCCCCTAAAACTTACTTGAACAAAGGTCAAATAAACGATGCATGAAAAGAACATGTGGTGAAATTAAGCAAACCTCAAACATTTTCTGAACATAAACCTTCTAGAGGTAATTTTAGACTGACTTATTGAAGTTGATGCAAAAATGTGCTTTAGTAAACAGTACTGTGCAAATGTTAAGAACAAATACAAATTTCTTTAAATTTTTTTCTTATAATCTATTAAAGTGATCTTGATCGATATTCTTTAGGCTCTGAAGGACTTTCAACGTATTTATTTATCTTTTTTGGACTCTCACTGCATTTTTACTCATTTTCTGCCCAGTTCCTGCAGCAAGCCTCAAGATTATACCATGTATCTAAAAAAGTTAAGTCTGGTCCTCTGGACATTCTATACATTAGACCGTGTAGTGTGTCCTTAAAAAATGAGAAATGTGAACAAGTGAAGGGCAAAAGAAGTGTCTGGACCAGAAAAATAAATAAATAAAACTATCTACAGCAGAACAATATTTGGAAAAACATTTATTTAAGAAACAGAATTTAAAAAATCTACAAAGACTTAAAACAGGATCTGAGAATGGCACAACTGTTTAGCTGATCATCAACTATGACAAGTTTTACACTTATTGTTCTTTGAGAATCACCTTAATGAAGCTAAAATCCTATTTTATGTGTCACACAGTGTTTTATTTGGCTTCTGGCCTAGATTTCACTAAAGAAATGTGAAAGATTTGTGTCGTTGTGATGAGCTGCTAGTAACAAAGTGCCTAAAGATCAAATAATTTTTTTTAAATATTTGTCTTCACAACAACTGGTTCATCCTGTGTTATGTCTGAATTATTCATAGGTTACCTAACAAGGTTGAGTCAGGTCCTCTGGATGGGTTCTTCTTTGTTGAAACATTTACTCTTTAATCCAAAATACTTCTTCAGTCTGAGGAGCTGCAACAAGCAGTCTTATAAGCAGTACCTTCTCCTAGTGGATCAACCAGTTTGCTGGTGACAACCAAAACTAGTTGTTCACATGCAAAAGAAGGACCATCAGCCTAATGAACGATAGCTAGTGCCCTGATGGCCGCTTGCTATTCAAAGAGGGCTGAGTGATACTTGCAATAACGACATTATAAGTGGGGGACAGTTGAAATCTGGGTTGAAAAGATCTTCTCACATCCTGCGTGGCTTATTTGATTAATGAGTTGATGACAGGATAATTAAATTATCCAACAGCCCCTGCCCGTGTTTAATGATGGAAGAGTTCTCGTCACTAAGATGGCTTCCTTCGCTCCTCTCTCAAACCAGTGTTCCTCTCTATCAAGGATGTGAACATCATCCCTGAAAGAGTGAGCGGTGGCTTGAAGATGAGTGTAGACCAGAGGTTCTCAAATTTTTTGGGTTCAGGGACCACTTAGAGAGGAGAAAAGGTTTCAGAGACCCCCTCATAACCCTCATGTTTATTAAATAGTTTTCTTCAATTTGTCTGTTTAATGCGATGGAAATATTTGTGTAACATAAATATTTAAGACCTGTTCTTTAATAGCGTTAATACAATTTTTATACTTTTAAACATGGGGTACTTTTCATTCAAGACACATTTAATTAACAAAATTTCAACTTCCAAAATTTAGTTTTGACAAAAGTACTAAAAAACACTTTAAAACTTTACCTATTCACTTAAGGAACATAATAAATGTATCGCCACTTCTTCAAATTATTACAGAAAACTCTTTACATAAAACTGAACAGAATCATAACAGCAGCAGTCATACCAAGTAACAGGACTTAATTTGTAAAGAGATTGATGCTGGAACACAAATAGCAGGCGGGCTGGCAGGGGTGGGGTGGGTGCGGTACAGGCGGGGGGGGGGGGGGGGGGTGTTGGGGGGTCCCCCGAAATATTTGATTAAAGTACCCGGTAGATGTGATTTCCTGTATTTTGGTGTATTTTAACAGGTTGTTAAACATCTATGTGCTTGTAAAAAAAAACGGATCCCCAAGCACCTGCTCGGGGACCTCAGTTTATGATCAGTCTTACATCTGGGAAACTAAACAGCCACTGGCCAAAAGGATGGCCCAACACAGAAGAGCAGCATCATCAGGTCAGGACTCTGTGGTCTACACTCATCTCCAGGCCAGCGGTCACTCTTTCAGGGATCAAGATGTTCACATCCTGGACAGAGAGGAACGTTGGTTTCAAAGAGGTGTCAAGGAGGCCATCTTTGTGAAGAGAACCCGCCCATCATTAATCAGAGATGGAAGCCTCCGTGTTCAACTGTCCCCCTCTTATAACGTTGTTATTGCAAGCATCACTCAGCCCTCTGTGAATAGCAAGTGGCCATCAGGGTTCTAACGATTGATCATCAAGCTGATGGTTCTCTTTTTGTACTGAACAACTAGTTTTGTCTGTCACCATCAAACTGGTTGATCTGGTTGATGAGAAGAAGCTGTTTATAGGACTGTTTGCTTGCAGCTTTGGATAAAAGACTATAAACATGTCAACAAAGAAGAACCTTCCAGAGGACATGACTCAACCATGTCAGATTAATCTACCTGGATTATTGAGCATGCATCAGGACGAGTCATAGATTAGTTTTATGACTTAAACAAATTCCTTTGAAAATGATCAGGTACTGAACTTAAAATGACTGAACTGAAAAAGGGCAAAAAATGATCAAGATCATTTAAAATATTAGAAGTCTGATTTCTTAGAACAAAATAAGAAAAGGAAATGGCTGATTTTTCTTTTGCTTTATTTAATATTAACTGCATTTTTTATTGTGGGTGCTATACATAACTGTTATTGTTTACTATTATTATATTATTATATTATTATCACCTTACAACCTAGCAATTTTTTGTTTCTTTTTTAATACCATTTTCTTTCACTTGTTCTTCTCAATTTGTATGCTTCCTTTATGATTGTCTATTGTTGTTACTGTTGTCATCACTCCTTGTTAAAATCAGGTCTCTCTTGTAAATGAGTCCCCGAGGCTCAATGGGATTAACCTGTATAAATTAAGGTTGAATGAAAATTGTGCCTCAGTCCTGTATCAGGCTGGCTGCTATTTTCTGTAGGAAGACCTTGATTGTGACTTTGTGAAAAAACAAAACAAACAAAAACCTAGTTTAAAAAAATCATTCAAAATTTTTTTCTGCACAAATGATAATAGGTTTACTGCTTTAAAAATTTGCAGGCGTCTCGAGGTGAGCTGTGAAAAACTGGGCCCACTCTGAATTTGAATTTGTCTTGAGTTGACTGGAAGCATTTTACTCCCGGCTACTGTTTACCACTCAGCAGTTTTTGTTCCATCTATGACTTCAGAACTGAGACAGAATAAAGCAACAAAAAAAAATTCTTCAAATTTACAAAAGAGTCTTAGTTTCATATTAAATAACATTGCACTTCTTCTTTACTGTAGTAATTATATTGTCATGTCTATTAAGTTGTGGGATAAATTACATCTTAGTGAGAACAAAATTATTAATTTGAGGAGCATCCATTCAAGGCTAAAGATGAGAAATAAGATTTGTCATGGTACATACAACTATATGTTACTCAAGGTTTAAAAAAAAAATATATGCATGGATTTGCCTGATACTGTACATTTTTAAATTTGGCAAATACATGCCCATATAGGCTCATTTCTTCTTCTGTGTGAACACACAGCTTCACTTCTGGCTCCATCATCTCTTTCCTTAGAAGCAACACTTGATGATGGCAGCAGAGATGAATAAACAAAGGATTTCACATTTAGATTACCAGAATCAGCCATTAAGTCTGCATTTGGGACACACTCAAACCTTGACAACTATAAACATTTAAAATATTTAAAAAGCCCACAATGGCCTCCTAATAATAAATCACCGTTTGGTAAAATTTTGAGAAGCTGCAGCTCAAGATCGTGGGCTCTCATGAGCAGGTGGGATGTGAGAAACCAACCACACTAAGTGGGTGGCAGAGAAATGTTCCAGTCGTTGCCGTGGAAAAGAGTTGTGTGTGTATGTGCACAAGTATTCACTATGTGGGTGTCTGGGCATTACAGTTTACAGAAAGAACAGTGATCCAACACATAAAAATCAAAAAACATCTCTGATAAAAATGAAAAGATGATTCGCACTGCAAAATACTACTATAACTTTTGGGTTGTCCGAGGCAGCGCAGAGTGTCGGATCCTGGCAAGTGGACGGAGCAATTTTATCTACGACCAGGCACACTGGTGGAGCGGCGAGTGGTCAGTGATTAATCTTCTGCTACCCCAATAATTTGAGGAAACTATACTTTTAAGCAATTTAGAAACTAGGAAGCATAGTTTCCTCAAATGGTAAGTGTGGTCAGTATAGAGTAGTCCCTCGTTTATCACCGGGGATCCGTACCCTGAAGACCAGCGATAAGTGAAAAACTGTCAAGTAGGAATAATAGTAAATAGTAGTTTATTTTTATTATATATATATATATATATATATATATATATATATAT